GTCAGGAGGATGGGGCCAAGCTCTTTTCAGTGGTGCCCAGTGACAGGACAAGGGGCAGTGGGCACAAACTGAAGCAGAGGAAGCTCCAGCTGAACCCGAGGAAGAACTTCTTCCCTCTGAGGGTGACGGAGCCCTGGCCCAGGCTGCCCAGGGAGGCTGTGGAGTCTCCTTCTCTGGAGATACTCAAGACCCGCCTGGCCGCGGTGCTGTGCAGCCTGCTCTGGGTGACCCTGCTTGGGCAGGGGGTTGGGCTGGGTGACCCACAGAGGGCCCTGCCAACCCCTGCCATGCTGGGATTCTGTGTGATTCTGTGATTTCACCCATGCAGCACGAGAGCTGAGGAGGTGCGGTTGACGTTTTGGGCGCGCGGTGTTTGCGCGCAGCTTGCTGTAGAGTTTGCCGCTTGGAACACATCGCGGCTGTTTCGTAGAGCTGGCGGTAGAGAAAAGCCCAAGGAGCGACACGAACGCAGGTTTTAAATGTGAATTCCTTTACCTTTAAATCGTATTTTTAAATTGCAGGATATCTCGAGAGCCGTCAAACATTCAAATAAGAAATTCATTAAGATTGACAAGCCCCCTGTGTGCCAAAAGTTACTTCAGAAAGGAAAGAGGTACAGATTAATATGTGAGCCAGAAGCTGAAATAACTCCAGAGGTGAGTCCCTTGCTCAGCCCTCCTTTTGTGCATTGCAGCTCCATTAGAAACGTGGTACAGAATGGGTTTTTCTGCCTGTTCCTGCACTGGCATGAAGGGCATTTTTCACATTCGTTTGCAATCACTGCAGCAAGCATTTGCCTCTTAGAGTCCTAAAATTTTGGGGTGAAATCCTGACGCTAAAGCCAACAGGAAAACTCTGGGGAGATTGGAGTTGGGCTCAGATCTGTGCCAACAGCCAAATACCTCCTATTTAGTTTACGTTGGGATAAATACTGATTTTTAACATCTTTCCATTGCATAGGAAATTGAGTTTGTTGATGGATCTCTCTTGAAACTGAAAAGCTACATCGAGGTCTATTTGGAGAAACCCGACGACTTCACCTTGTCTTTGGTGGAGCTGGAGTCTGACGCGACCGTGTGGAAGGCAAAACTGAGAGAGAGTGAGTCCGGGGTGGTCCCGTGGCCGCTTGCCTGGTTTTCCTGCTGGAAAGGCTCAGCCCTTAAACACAGCCTGATCCCTGCTGTGGAAGTGGCGAGGTTTGGAGATGAAGGGGTAAGAGGCGAAGAGGAGAGCTCTGGGCGGTCACGGAGCGGGCATTGCAGTAATCTGCAGAATCCCTCGTGAGCGAGCAGGCGAAGGCTTCGGGGCGGTGGGCTGGGCGGGAGGATGCCCTGGTTCGGTTTTGCTCGCTGGGGATAGCGTGCAATCTCGACGGTGGTTTAGAGATGGCGTGCTGCTCCCCTTTTTGGAGAAAAGGGGGAAAAATCATCGCTTTGGGTGATATCTTGGCTCAGCAGCCAGAATCCACCCAGCAGCTTGGTTTTGTGCACGAGAACGGTTGGATGTGGGGCACAGCAGTGGGAATTCACAGAATCCCAGCATGGTCGGGGTTGGCAGGGCCCTCTGTGGGTCACCCAGTCCAACCCCCTGCCGAAGCAGGGTCACCCAGAGCAGGCTGCAGAGGACCTTGTCCAGGCGCGTCTTGAGTATCTCCAGATTCCTACCTCACCTTTTGTTTCCTCTGACAACCGTTTGCCAGGTGACTGGATACATTACGATCAGAACAAGAACGAGCAGAAGAGAAGCACAGCCAGTAAGTCCGAAGGGAAGTCGGGGTACCTCGCTTGCTGTTGTAGCTCAAGCGGCACGGAAGAAGTAACATCACCTCTTGCTTCTTAGGTGTCAAAAAGCGGAAGACAGCCCTCAGCATTTTGGAAGAAGACGAGCTCTGTAGCAAAAAGCAGAAGACTGGCAATGCTGCAGGTATCACAGAATCACAGAATGTTCGGGGTTGGAAGGGACCTCTGGGGGTCATCTAGTCCAACCCTCCTACCAAAGCAGGGTCACTTCTGTGTCATTTCAAGTAGCAGCTTTGGGGTGGGGTTTTTTTTTTGTACCCTGTGAATTGAACCTGAGCTCACTTTTTTAAAGACTGCCACAAATCTGTGTACAAAATACAGGAGGAGAAGGCATTGCTTGTGTAGGTGCAGAATTTGTGCCTGCATTTGTGTGCTTTGGTACACCGTCATTCATTCAGTAAGTAGATGGGGAGAAGCAGCTAGGAAACTTGCTTTATAAGGGTGAGCTAAAATGGTCTTGTCTTCTAAGACTGGGCTTTGTCTGTTGTCTTCTGGGTCTCTTGTCTTCTGGGTCTCTTGTCTTCTGGGTCTCTTGTCTTCTGGGTCTCTTGTCTTCTAAGACTGGGCTTAGAAGGCTTGGTCTTCTAGGACTGGCTGGCTTTGAAAGAGGTTTCCAGTACATGTCTCAGATTGTGCATCTTGGGATAGCTCCAGAGCCAGAACAGGCTGAGTTTTTCTGAAAAAAAAACCAGCTCCCGTTTATTGTTGACATGTGATGTCCTGATGGGCAAAAATGCTTGGTGCCTGGGAGCTCCCACCCAGAAACTACTCATTTACTAACAGTTACTTGGAAAAAATACAAAAGAAATAATGTTAGTTCAATAAATAATGAAAAAAAAAATAAGAAAAAGAAAAAAAGAAGGCAAAAGTAGCAGTGTAGGTGTTTATTTACAAGTGCGTGTAGCCACCAGAGGGAGAGGTTCCATCCCTCAAAACCTCCGTTCCACGTGTGAGTGGTGACACCGAGGAGGAAGGCGGCTCAGTCCGTGTGACTTCTGCGCCGTTTAATTAAAGGGAAGACAAGCATCACCTTTCTGGAGCAGCTGGGGGTTTCGACAACAGCAGGCGTCTGAACTTGCCGGGAGGTAGCGAGTACTCAGCGTGGCCTTAACGTTGTACAACCCCAGATCTCTGAGTGCTTGGTAACCTAACGTGCTGAGGGAGGTGCTGCTGCTGGATGAACAGCTGCTCCTAAATGGGGAAAAAAACCCTTTGCAGCAGCCAGCATGCAGTCAGACGTTGTCGTCTTCATGATCTGGGCTTCTCAGCCCTGTGGGGTCTTTTCTCCAACGCCTGGCCCTGACCTTGCTGGATAATCTGAATTACAAGATCACCTTGGTTGTATGTCCCTGGCCGTGCACAGAACTGGTAGTGCCATTTAGTTACAAGCTTAATGAGAAGTGTAATATGAAATCGGATTTTTGTTTTATGTCTTTTCAGATGGAACTAAAACAAAAAAATTGACTGATCAGCAGCTGATGGTGATCGCAAAGTTGTTTGATAGGCAGTGGCGAGAAATTGCCATCGAGTGTCTTCAGATGGAAATGAAAGACATTGAGCAGATTCAGGCAATGGAGAATGAAGTTAATATACAAAAATTTCTGGTGTTAAGCAAGTGGAGAGACAGAGAGCAAAGCAACGGAACCGCGGAAGCTCTGTACGTGAGTCTTCATGAGAAGGCGTCCTATGAGATACTGCAAGCCCTAGAAGGTATCGCCTTCCCCTTATATTTATTTAATGACATCAGTACGTTTCGGATATATTTTGAGAATTCGCATCAGAGAGTTTACCAGATACCCAGTACATGTTTTACTACGTAGATCAAAAATATTTCCCATCTGACATAGCAGTGACTTTCTTTCTTGTGGCATTTTCCTACTTCCCTTCAGAAACTGATAGAAAATGAATAGTATTTTTGCACTGACTGTGATGAGAGTACTCTCGGCATAACCTAGCTGTCACGGCCAGACCGGGCAGCGTTACATACCCGAACCGATCCTTGGTTTTCTCAGGAAGTCCAAAGAGGAGATGTTTGGGTCTTTCCTCTTATGTATTTTAGGAACGGTTAATTAAAGCCTTCCCCCAATGGATGACTTAGCGATTCACAAAATCACAGAATGGTGGGGGTTGGAAGGGACCTCTGTGGGTCACCCAGCCCAACCCCCTGCCCAAGCAGGGTCACCCAGAGCAGGCTGCACAGCACCGCGTCCAGGAGGGTCTGGAATATCTCCAGAGAAGGAGACTCCACAGCCTCCCTGGGCAGCCTGGGCCAGGGCTCTGTCACCCTCAGAGGGAAGAAGTTCTTCCTCATGTTCAGCTGGAACTTCCTCTGCTTCAGTTTGTGCCCGTTGCCCCTCGTCCTGTCGCTGGGCACCACTGGAAGGAGTCTGGCCCCATCCTCCTGACACCCACCCTGCAGATATTTAGAGGCATTTCTAAGGTCCCCTCTCAGCCTTCTCTTCTCCAGGCTGAACAAGCCCAGCTCCCTCAGCCTTTCCTCGTAGGAGAGATGCTCCAGTCCCCTACACTGCTGGCTCATGGTCAACCTGTCGTCCACCAGGACACCCACGTCCCTCTCCACAGAGCTGCTGTCCAGCAGGTCCACCCCAGCCTGTACTGGTGCCTGGGGTTGTTCCTCCCCAGGTGCAGGACCCAGGATTTGGTCCTGCAGACCCCTGTGTATGTATGTATTTCCTTACAAGCCACGAGGAATCTTTCTCAAAAACTAAATATCTGATTTTTTTTTTTTTGGAAACAGGCAAAGCTTTGCTCTGTCTTAACCCTCCCTAAAAGCAGCCCAGCTTCCAAGGGTGCTGCTCCTGCTCCCTCAATCGTCTGACCCTCACCAGCCTGGCTGTGCCGTCACCTTGGCCTGTCTTGTAGGCTTTTAATACATTTAGAATATCGCAATAGCTTTTAATACATTTAGAATATCGCAATAGCTTCAGATAATCTGTGTTCATGTTCCTTTCCTCAGGTTTCTCGGCTCGGTGCTGAGCTGGTGCAGCTGCAGCTGGGAGGAGCGTGGTGGGAGCTTCCCCGGTCAGCCGTTCTGCTTCGGCCGCGTCCCGGGGGTCTTGCTGGGATTCGGGAGGGAAGATGCAGGGCATCATCTGTGGAAAGTTGAGGCGGGACCTTGGCAAGAAATGTGAATGAAATTTTGCGCGGGTATAAGGACACGTAAGACTTTTGGGAGCGATGAGTCAGGCGGTGGATCCCGGTGTCGCGGCCGGGAGTGCCAGGCTTCACGTACGGGGAAACCCGGCGCTGCCGCCCAGCTTCGCCGCATTGGAGCCGGTCCTAAAAGACACAAACACTGGAAGGAAACCAGTTTACCTAGTTCAGGTATCCAGACACCTTTTTATTTACATCAGGGAAACACAGGGAGAAAAGTTATGCGGAAACTTTTGTCCCCTTCAAAAAAAAAAATATTGAACTGCCAGAATCATGAGGTACATTGTATTTCTCACAGACGCCCAAGATCAGGGAAGAATAATCCTAAACCTGCAGATAAATTCCTTCGCCTAATCACTGTATATATACGTAATTGCTGTATATACTCGTGTGCGTTCAGTCCTTGTTAAGCTGTGGTTCTGTTTCTGAAAAACCCGAGGGCTGGTTTCACGGCAGCACCACTATGAACTCCAGGCAGCTTTGAATTTTCCCTGGGAATTTCTTTTTCACTCTTTTCTGTATCATCTGCCTCAATTTTTATGAGATAGATAGTTTTTTTTATGTAGTATAATTTTTTTTTTGTATTATAAACTTTTTATACTTTTTTTTTTTTACTTGATTAATTTTGACTTGAATAGAATTAGGTGCTAAAACTAAAAGGGGTGAAGCCGAAATCTCTGCAGAGGCTGTTACTGTCGGCAATGCACGTCCTATGGAATCGGAAAAGATTTGGTAAGGATGCTCTTTGCAGAAGAGAGCGGCGATCGATACAGGAGATCGTCTTGTTTTTAGAGAAGACACGGGATTCTTTCGATCATCTTCCTCCGCGTATGTTTATGAAAGAAAAAGCATACTTTTAAAATATAAGGATTAAAAAGGAAACATTTACACTATTTATGGGTGATTTTTGATTTTTTTTTTTTTAATTTAGCTGTTGGGTGAAATGTTGCAAGGTCGTTGTATGTGGTGGGGCAGCTTTCCAACCCTTGATGCTCCACCGCAGGGGTGGCCGAGGAGAAGGGCTGTGCTGGTGCTCAGGACCTTGTGGGCTCTTCTGCCGGTGGGGCATGTGGGGGGAAAAAAGCTGTGGGAGGCAGGGAGGCTCGTGTGGGGCTCCACATCCCCAGGCAGAGCTGCCCTTGGCTCTGCTCTCTGGGACAAGGGGGGGGAAATTGCCCTCAGGGGAGCTTTAGGATACCTGATAAAACCCAAAGCTCTAATAGGACCCTTTCTCTGGTCAGAAGCAGAAATCAGTAAATTTAAGCTGGAGAGAAGATGCTTATTTGTAATTACGAGGGTAACTGGGTAGCGTAGCAGGTGGTCCAAAGAGATGAGAAGGTTTTCACCCTTCAGGTTCTTTAAATC